CAAAATTTAAAATTTTTGTTCCTCAAAAGACATTATTAAGAAAATAAAAAGGCACACATTGGCTGAAATTGTATGCAAAACATATATCTGATGAAGAACTTGTATTTAGAATACATTAAGAACTCTTACAATTCTGTAAGACAAATGACTCAATTATTTTTTTAATGCGCAAAATATTTGAACTTGTCTCCAAAAAAGATATACAAATGGTGAATAAGCACATGAAAAAAGTGCTCAACATCATTAGCCATTAGCCATTAAGAAAATGCATATTAAAATCACAATAAGATATCACTTAATATTCACTAGAATGGTTACAGTTTAAAAAGACTGACTATACTGAATATTGCAAGAATGTGGAAAAACTGGAACCTAATACATTGCACATGGTACAGCCACATTGGAAAACAGTTTAGCGGGGCGCCTGGGTGGCTCAGTCGTTGGGCGTCTGCCTTCGGCTCAGGTCGTGATCCCAGGGTCCTGGGATAGAGCCCCACATCGGGCTCCCTGCACCACGGGGAAGCCTGCTTCTCCCTCTCCTACTCCCCCTGCTTGTGTTCCCTCTCTTGCTATGTCTCTGTCAAATAAATAAATAAAATCTTTAAAAAAAAAAACAAAAAAACAGTTTAGCAACTTCACAAAAAGTTAAACATACACCTATAATGAGGCCCAGCCATTCCACTCCTATTAACCAACAGAAAGAAAGCATATGTTCACAGAAAAACTTAAACACAAATGTTCATAACAGCTTTCTTTATAATCACCAACAACTGAAACAAACCAAATATCCCAAAATGTGCTATATCCCTAAAATAGACTACTCAACAATAAAAGGTAACAAACTACTGATACACAAAAAAATCATAGATGAGTCTCAAAATAATTACACTGAGCAAGAGAAGCCAGATAAAAAAGTATATATATATATACATATATATATAGTGATTACATTTATATATAAAAGTATAGAAAATGCAAACAATTCATAGTGATAAAAACCAGATTAGTGGTTGCCTCAGTACCAGGATAAAGAGAAGTACTAAGGGAGGGAGAGATTACAAAGGCAAATGAGAAAATGTTTGGAGGTGACTAATAAATTCATTATCTTAAATGCATGATGATTTTAAGGGTAAACACATTTATTAAAACTAATCAAAAAGTATAATTTAAATATGCAGCTCATAATCCATCAAAGTATACATTAGTAAAGCTCTATTTTAAAAGCCCAACTACAAATGTAATTTTTTAAGTGGGAGGATACTACTAACTGCATTCAATTCCAAGTACCCTAAATATCTGTTTAATTTTACAAATCATTAGGTTAAATACAGTTGCTTCTTACTTAAACGAAGATATTTTTCAAATTTGTTATTTTTCAAATCTGGCAACTGAAGCCAGATCCTCTATGAAGGAAAAATTGGGCAAACCATTAAATTGAATCCACTTGGTAAGAAGAACTAAGATCCTTGGTTGGACATTGAATAAATCTCTCCCTCTAATTTCCAAACATTTGGGTCCAAGGGCATAATCGAATTATGTCTACAAAATCTCTTCATAACCTATGCTGAAATATTCATGATCTTTCCTAATTTTCAAAAACACATTTACTCTTTATAACTGCCAGTAATAGCTGTATCAACACTGTTACCATCTCGATGTGCTTGTGCCAACCCTTTTAGCTCTGTGAGGTCCCTTTCCAATGATCTCATTCATAGCATCTGTATTTTAAAATCAATTATTTAGGAATGCTTTTCTTTTTGTTGGCTTCTTTTTCAATAGGATCTCTTGAATTTATAAAGACAAGAGCAAAGAAATTAAAAAATATAACTTTTTTTGCTGATCTGTTCCTATTTTTTTATTTTATTTAAATTCAATTAACATACAGTATATTACTAGTTTCAGAAGTAGAGTTCAGTGATTCATCAGTCGCATATAACACTCAGTGCTCATTACATCAATGCCCTCCTTAATGCCCGTCACCCATTTACACCATCCCCCCACCCTCCCCTCCAGCAACCCTTAGTTTGTTTCCTATTGTTAAAAGAGTCTCTTATGGTTTCCCCCGCTCTCTGATTTCATCTTATTTTATTTTTCTCTCCCTTCCCCTATGGTCCTCTGTTTTGTTTCTTAAATCCCACATATGACTGAAATCATATGATAATTGTCTTCCTCTGACTTATTTCACTCAGCATAATACCCTCTAGTTTCATCTACATTGTTGCAAATGGTAAGATTTCATTTTTTGACGGCTGAGTAATATTCCATTGTGTGTATGTATGTGTATGTGTGTTTGTGTGTGTGTGTATATATATATATATATATATATATATATATATATATATAAAACATCACATCTTCTTTATCTGTTCATCTGTCCATGGACATCTGGGCTCTTTCCATAGTTTGGCTATTGTGGACATTGCTGCTATAAACATTGGGATGCAGGTGCCCCTCTGGATCACTATGTTTGTATCCTTTGGGTAAATACCCAGTAGTGCAAATGCTGGGTCCTAGGGTAGCTCTATTTTTAACTTTTTGAGGAACCTTCATACTCTTTTCCAGAGTGGCTGTACCAGCTTGCATTCCTACCAGCCTCTTTCTCCACATCCTCGCCAACATTTGTTGTTTCCTGACTTGATATAACCACATTTTTTTTAAAGATTTTATTTATTTGTCAGAGAGACAGACAGCAAAGAGAGAGCACAACAGCACTAGCAGGGGGGAGCGGCAGGCAGAGGGAGAAGCAGACTCCCCACTGAGCAAGGAGCCTGATGTGGGACTCGATCCCAGGACCCCAGGATCATGACCTGAGTGGAAGGCAGATGCTCAACCGACTGAGCCACCCAGGTATCCCTATAACCACATTTCTTAAATGGTTATTTCCTTTTCACTATTTAACCAACAGATATCTAGATATTCTGATCTATCTATTTTGAAAGTAAAAATCCAGGTAGTAGAAATCATATTTTGATAAGTTATAAACTATCATTCTCATTCATCTTTAGTCCTTTATTCTCTTCTCACTCTCTTTAGAATTTGCCACTTCTGCCGCGTGCCCCATACACAAAAGTCACAGTCAATGGATTTCCATTAAAAAAGTAAAAGGAAAGCTTATTGCTTAGTAATGTCTGATAGTCCCAAAATAAAATCAAGCGATATAAATACCCGCTTTAAAAAAGGTGCGAAGAGAGTGCCACTTTAGTAAACAAACAAAAAATCAAATATATAAATATATGTAATATCTGGTATATTTTTTTATTTTAAAGATTTTATTTATTTATTTGAGAGAGAGAATAAGAGAGAGAGAGAGCAAGAGGCGGGGAAGGGTCAGAGGGAGAAGCAGACTCCCCGCTAAGCAGGGAGCCCGATGCGGGATTTGATCCCAGGACTCTAGGATCATGACCTGAGCTGAAGGCAGTCGCTTAACCAACTGAGCCATCCAGGCGCCCTATTTTTTTTTATTTTAAAAACACTTGCTTAGAGAGTATTATGCTGAGCGAAATAAGTCAGTCAAACAAATACCATATGATTTCACTCATATGTGGAATTTAAGAAACAAAACAAATGAGCAAAGGTTAAAAAAGAGAGAGGCCAACCAAGAAACACTCTTAACTATAGAGAATAAACTGAGGGTTGCTGGAGGGGAAGTGGGGGGGAATGGGTTAAATAGATGATGGGGATTAAGGAGTGCCCTTGTTCTGATGAGCACCAGGTGCTGCATATAAGTGTTGAATCACTTAAATCGTACACTTGAAACTAATATTGCACTGTATGTTGACTAACTGGAATTTAAATAAAAACTTAAAAAAAAAAACTTGCTTTGAAAAAATAAAAATAAAAACACTCGTTTTGGTGAGGGAAGAGGAGAAGGACAAGAGGGGGGAAGGTAAAAAAGGAGAAGATAAAGTAGCAGCTTAGACTAAAGATCCATATAGCCCAGGGCATGGAAAATTTAACTGTCCAATAAACATTTGTTGAATACACACACAAATGAGCAAGTCTGATTTCACTACCATCTAATCATCTAATCTAAGTAGAGGTAGCTCTACTCTAGTTTACTACATCTTATGGCTTTTTAATGTCTCTTGAGTAGCAAAAAGCAAAGTTTGAGATTCCTTCAAATCTAAGGGACATATTATGGTCAATTAAGCAATTTTGGTTAGTAAATTTAAGAAATAGAAAATGAATTCACATAATAAAAAGGGATTCGATCAAGGATAATTGTTTAGTTAAAAATAAAATCCTGGGGGCACCTGGGTGGTACAGTCAGTTAAGCATCCCACAGACTCTTGATGGTTTTGGCTCAGGTTGTGATTGCAGGGTCATGAGATCGAGCCCTGCATTGGGCTCCGGCTCAGTGTGGAGTCTGCTTGAGACTTTCTCCCCCTCTCCCTCTGCCTGTCCTCCCCCCAACCCCCACCCCCCACCCCTGCATGCTCATGCGCTCTCTCTCTAAAATAAATAAAATCTTAAAAAACTAAATAAATAAATAAATAAAATCCTAGTTCTGTTGTTCTCGGGTCTGTTGTAAGAAGGGCGATCATTTTAGACATAATAAGGTTTGTGTGTACCAACCAGAGACTAGTCATCATGAATCTGCAGAATGTTTGAACTATAAAATATAGAAATTTATATTTTCATGTATGTAAAGTAACTAATTACCCAAATAGGTAAGTATACCATGGAAAATATATTTTGTGGGTATATTTAGCCAAATTACTTAATGATGAAGTAAAAAATAATTAAATTTTCCAGTAACATAAACTGGTATTTTTGACGTGCTTAAAAGATTTAAGCCATTTCCACTCTTAAACCTGCCTCTGAAGCTATATAAATACTATGCTTTTAGCAAGTCCTTTTCCCATAGCTAATACAAAGAAAATATTTGGCTCAGTGTCTGTCTAAATTATCACAAACTTTGAATTTTCACAAGATACAACACACGTTAGAACTATGTTTGAACTCCATCATGAAGCCCCAAGGTTTGGATGTTCACTTACCTCGTACTTTAAAATATTTTACATGGTTTTCCACAGCCTCTGTCACACTTTCACCTGGACAGGTTTTCACACCATTAGGAAGCAAAATAGATCGTTTTCTTCTCAGCAACCACTGTTTCTCAGTTTCTCTGTGGTCCAGAGGTAGTTTCTTTTCAGTAGAAAGAGAAGTATCTGTGGATTCTGAGTCAATCAGGAAAAAAGGAACTGCACTCTTGGGTTCTTGGATATCTTCTAAAGACATGTAGGTTTGTGCTAAAGAGTGAAAGCATAGACAAGTCTTTGGATAGTGAACGAAGATACAGTAAGAAAGGTAACAAAGAAAAACTGACTTTTGTGCCACATTTTGATTTTAAAGTTATTGCTCAGATTATAGACAGGCATGCCTAGAGGGGTAGGAGTGAGCAGTCAATTTTTCCTCCATCTACTCCTTTATTTCAAGATTCTTAGTTATTGAAAAAACTATATCTCCAATTGCAACACAAGAAATGAGAGGAAGTAAGTCTGAAGTAGAAATTACTAAAGAAGAAAACCAAAATTATTGAAGAGATTTTAAAAGTTTAAATGAAGCAATACCAAAGACTAAAAAATAGCATTTGATTCAACTTCTTACAACAGTCATAACAAATGTTATTTTTAAAGAAAATATACTACAAATATAAGGAAAAATAACAATATAGATTTTTAAATACCTGTTAATGATGTAAGGTTTCCTTCTATCATGACAAATATCAAAATACCCAGAGAAATCTTCCCAAAATGAGGAAACATAATCATTTGGGCCAAAATCAAAGGAATGAGGAGAAGCCAAAATCCTTAACTTGAGCACCCGAAAAGACTTGAAACTTCCAGTAACGAATTATTATAGGAAAGGTCTAACATTTAAGAGTTTATGTTTGAGAACTGACAAACATTCTAAAACCATTATAAATTAGCTTAAATAAAAATGGTGTCCTTTCAAAATACCTCTCACTTCTTTTCTGAAATAACCAGCACAGCTATGAAAGCAGAAGAGATAAGCTAATTAGAACAGATGGGGAGAGACAATTTCTTTATTCTAATCTAGCCAGCTAAGCTCTTTACGGACGCTTTGCCTTTAACAAGCAGTCCACTTAAAAACAATGTTTCACATATAATTCACAGAGTTTTACAATTTTTCTGAATCTATTAGTTGAACCTGATAGATTCACAAGTTCTCTGGGTTCTTCTAGGGCCTATGATTTTTTTTTTTTAAGATTTATTTATTTATTTTGGGGGGGGCGGTGGCAGACGGAGAGAGAGTCTTAAGCAGACTCCATGCTGAGTGCAGAGCCCAACGCAGGGCTCAATCTCACAACCCTGAGATCACGACCTGAGCCAAAACTACGAGTCAGGAGCTTAACCGACTATGACGCTCAGGTGCCCCTAGGGCCTATGATTTGTAAGCATAAGACTTATAAGCCCAGACTGTACCTATCTACTTCAGAAATACAGAGCTAGGTACAAAACTAGCTCTAGCTGGTTTTCCTGGAGCTATTTCTTTTTGGCATATTTACTGTCATGTAAATTTCTCTCCTTGATAAAAAAATTGAAAATCAGGGACGTCTGGGTGGCCCAGTCGGTTAAGCATCTGCCTTTGGCCCAGGTCATGATCCCAGGGTCCTGGGATTGAGTCCCGCATCGGCCTCCCTGCTCAGCAGGAAGCCTGCTTCTCCCTCTCTCTCTCCCTCTGCCTGCCGCTCCCCCGCTTGTGCTCTCTCTGACAAATAAATAAAATCTATAAAAAAAATAAATTTGAACATCTTTGGTTATAACCACTTAATGTCTTCTTCCTTATATATAAAATGGGATAGGAATAGTAAAGCTAACTCATGATAGAGCTGTTGTGAGGATTGAATTAGTTAATACACAGAAAATGCTTAGAATAGTGCCTGGTACATACTAAGCATACAATAAAAATGATAGCCACATGATAACTATGTTGCTTAATTAGCTATTAAACATGAGGTCTGGTGTGTTTATGTAGATGAGGAACTCTTAACCAAGAAAGTATATCTTTTACCACAATGGGACCAGATAAAATTCTTTGTATTAGGACAGCTGTTTTTAATCAAATAAACCTAGTAGAAAGCAATTAAATTAGTCAAAGTTTCTGGGAAAGCTAGGATTTACTATCAAATAGCACTGGATTTACATCTTATGTCATGTACCTCTAATGAAGTTCTCTGGGGAAAAAAAAAAAAGTTTTGTGAAGATCTATAAAGCACATTTCTCTTAGGATCCTAAAATAGTCCCGACCCCAATTTCTTCAGCCCCGAAAAGGGATGCACTCAGTTGTAAGAAAAGAGACTAGCTGGGTGGGTGTAGACCATACCAGCATAAGGAAGCCTTATACCCACAAAAGCTTGTCTTTTAATGGCCTCTGAGCAAAGTTTCCAAATTTCCACAAGGACAAGTTCAGTTAAAAGAGACTCTACAGAAGGAAGGAAAAGCCTATGTTTTCCAATAAAGTTTTATATAGTTCTGGTCAAGCAGGCCTTCAGAGTATGCATGTCTACTCACAGTTCTCCCAGACCATAGTTCAACAATTAGAGACCATTTTCACAATTAAAAAAAATACTGACTACAAATGACATTCCACATTTATTTTAGCTCAGTACATTTCCAAAGAAACATTATTGAAAGAAAGAAAACCCTAGATAATTTGCTATGAAAGAAAGGCTTAAGCTTGGTGTTAAGCCAAAAGCAATTACAGCATAAATGAACAATTTTATATGATTAAAAAGTAGGTGACACTGGAAAGATGAGGACAGCACATAGATTGGAATCAGATTAGAAAGGGCTCTGTATGACAAGAGCCCTATTTTTTCCCATAACATAAAAGGAAAACAAGCCGATTATAAGAGGCATTAAACTTTTTCTAAGTCCTACTTAAGTGATTGGATAGGAGTCAAAAAAAAAAACTTACTACTTTTTTTATCCCAAGAGTTGTAAATTAAAAATAGTATTATCTTCTCTGGGAAGACTTTCCCTGTCCAGTGACAACTCTCTTACTACCTTTTTACCACCTCTCACTCACACATACACACACAGCTAGGATGAACTCCCTCCTGAGCTCCCAAGAAACTCTACTACAGTTTTTACTAGGAATATTAAAACTATTCATATGTCCATTACTCCCACTAGGCTAAAAATGACTCAAGAATAAAAGCTGCAGTTCATTTTTTTGTACCTAGCAAACTGCTTATTAATAGATGCTCCAAAAATGTTTCCTGAATGAACAAATTAACTATATGCCTGCTAAAGTAAAAAGAAAAATTAATCTAAGCATCAGTTATGAGATATGAACTGGAAATCATAAATTTGAAAATTTATTTCTCTAAGAATGGCTCATGTTTCTTAAGAAAATTACACCTCAATTTAATGAATTGGAAACATGTTTAATATAAAATGTTGATATTCAACACATTATTTCCACATGAATTTAGGAAAATGAATTTTAAACAATCTTCAAAACATGATAAAGGACAGTGGTACCTTTGAAAAACATACAAACAAAAAAGTTAAGAAGTCACAAGAAGATGTATTACATACTTGCTTTCCCAAAATTAGATGTACAAAATAATTAATAGTCATTTTAAAAAGTCCCCTCCCATACACACACAAATTGGGAATGAAAACATGTAATTATAACCATCTTTATAAGAAATCTCCAAAAGACAAATATCTTTAACAATATAAGGATGGTGACAAGATTAACAAAAACTCAAAAACACTGAGGCTTAACTGACAACCTCAAATTCACATGATTTTGAAATAAAATGTGCCAATTTTTACCTTTATCTTAAATTGCCTTTGCTTCACTGCTTTATATACAGTTAACAATATAAATCCAAGAGATGCTTAAAACAGAAGATCAAAATAATACTCTTAGAAAACATGTTTCTTATCTGAGAAAATACAGTATCATTGTCCCCTCAAAATTTTCCTGATAACATTAAAAGGTTGTGAAGTCCTTAATCATATAATACCACCATCATCACATGAATTCAAAACTGTTACCTGAACATTTAATAAAAACTTATGCTCCCTAGGGATCATAGGTCTCTAAAAACTACCATTTAAAAATATAAAAGCAATTCTAGCAATCTGGCTTTTCAGATGAATACCGGGTAAACAGAAGTAGCTATAAAATTATATATTTAGTTCTAACAATTAATAAATAAGATTTTGAGGGTGTTTTTTAATTAAAGTTATGAGGACACCAATTTTATCTTATGTACTTACAGAAACTGTGTATATACATTCTAAGATATCAGAGTAGGACAGAAGTCAATATTGATAAAGCTATACCTCAAACTAAGTTGAGCTACATATGTAATTTTTAAAAACCTATTTTGGACAGTTAACATTTTTTTGTTCCAAATTTCATTCTGAATGAATGAACTAAATCTTCAGATTCCCACATATGACATCAAAAGAAAAAGAGAACATATAACAATTACAGCAGAGTAACAGTTCCATTTAGCAACTGAGAAAAATAAGCTGCACTTTGAAAGAGTCAGTTTTTATCATCTCCTAACATCATGTCCTCTTTTACACTATACAGAAGGGATGCCGTAAATGGCATTTTCTGAAACCTTAATACTAAATTCTTCTTTAAAAAAATACACAGTATTCATACTGCATGCTTGAGCTGCAAAGAATAGAATTACAATATAATGTGACTTGTCAACAAACTTGACAAGCACTGGGGCTGGCACCAGGGAGGACCAAACTCCCCTCAACTCCCATTTATATGGAAGTACAGATCACATAGTTTTATTATCTACAAAAACATTCCCACATTTACATATGCTATTGCATAATCAGAAGCATATTTAATCAGAAAAATATCAAATATTTATGAAATTTTAATTTCTATCTAATAAGTTTATATCACCCCCATTTTCCACTGCATCTATGAGATCTCAACAATCTAATAATATCTTATATATTTTAGATACTATTTAATGACTTATAAAACTACCACAAGTTATTTTCTTCTCTGTGAGCTAACACAAATGCTGTAAGCGGCTTTCCAGTAATCTTATAGAACATCTGTGTCATGTTTGTACAGATTAACTAACTACTGCTGCCCTTCTGTTGCTGTAAATGAAGTTTCAAAATGAGCTCTCGAATATCTTCCCGCTTGGTCTTTATTACATGACGAGGAAACCATTTCTCCAAATGAATTGGAAGTTCAAAATTAACAATAGGATCCTAATGAAAGAAAAGAAAGAATGCAATCACTTTAGCAGTATAATTCAAATGTTTTAATATCATTTTTTTTTAAGATTTTATTTATTTATTTGACAGAGAGAGACACAGCGAGAGAGGGAACACAAGCAGGGGAAGTGGGAGTGGGAGAAGCAGGCCTCCCACAGAGCAGGGAGCCCGATGCGGGGCTCGATCCCAGGACCCTGGGATCATGACCTGAGCTGAAGGCAGACACTTAACAACTGAGCCACCCAGGTGCCCTTGTTTTAATTTCTTCTCACAAGAAATGAGAAACTGCTAACTTTTTAAAATAACAGCTTTACTGAGATATAATTCATATACTATATAATTCACCTAAAACTATGTATTACCATTCCTTCCCAATTATACCGTAAGTTCTAACTGTATACTATAACC